ACAGATAGACATTCCTCTGGTATTCCCTGCTTTCAGCCAAGATCCATCTAACATCAGCTACAATAGCTCTAGTACCACGACCCCTTCTGAAACCAGCCTGGACTTCTGGGTGACAGTTGAAAATACCACGGCTTAAGTCAGGCATGCCTCAGTCATCAAAGTGACAGGTAAAGGCATGAGGATTTAGACTCATATGGGGAGGGCAGCAAAGACATAACTCAGTCTGTTTCCAGCATTCAGCAGAACCTTCGGTCTGTCTGTAAAGCTCTTTCAGTTCTGGTCTGCAGCTCAAAGCCTTTCAGTTTTAGGACGCTGGTGGCTTTCAGAGGAGCTCCGGTAGTGTAGTCTATGGGGCACTGTGCTGTTAACCCAGCACTTTGAGAATACCAGCAGCTTCATGGAAAAAAGGTGGACAGTTTCCACCCTTTGCAGTTGATATCCTGGAAAACAATGAGTGTGAGTTTGAGCTGGTGGTTTTCAAAGTGAAGAGGGCAGCCTCTTTATGAATGAGACGGGCACCCTGGATCCTTGCTACCTGTTGATCCTAAACCAGGGGTTCCACAGGGAGGTCCCACGAGTGGGGCTTTCCAGGAGCCGGCCTCGCCAACGGTCCATTCTGGCAGATTATCTCCTCACTAAGTGGGAGAACCTCTTCCTGCACACCTTTTAAAAAATAATTATCATTTTATTAAAAAATATTTTATATTAGTGCTTTTACAAAGTTCGTATACATCGTGTTTCTCACTATCCTTCATTCACATTCGTGCACATCTTTTTAGTCACACACGTTGTCATGAGATCACACCTTATTAGAATTCTTTGTGCTTGGATCAGCAAGGAAGGGAACATTGAGAAATTTCAAGTGAATCACACTATTTTTGGCCCCCTCAACAATAAGCTCGTGTTGCTCGCACAGTCATAGCTTTGTCGTTATTAGCAGACTGACAGTCTTAAGTGTGCCCAGGTCTGTCTTTGCTGATTAAGACGACAGAGGCAGGAAGCTCACGCATGAATCAGCTTAGATTACTGGTCACAGTGGGAATTAGAGCCAGAAGGCTGGCACCAGCGGGGCTTTTTCCGAGACTTGGGGTGTTTTCACATGGGCTGCATGCTGTCAGAAGTCAGACGAGCACCAAGCTTCTCCGGATGGGAGGACAACAAGGAAAATCAAGTGAGCTTGGTGCCTCCAGCCCTCATCTCTCCCGCAGGAAATTCTCAACAACCCTTTTAAAGTAATTTTAACAAAATCCAATCCCTCTCAGTGCAATTACTGTCAGAATGTCAAAGGAATGAATTTAATAATGTTTTGATAGCAAAGACGCTGCACTTTTTCTTTCTCTGAGCTCAAGCTTTCTACTCTTTCCTCTTTCCTTGCATAAACCAATAATGGCGGGCACTGGGTTCCTTCAAACGTGGGGGCGACTGGAAATGCAGGTGGAATTTACAAGAGGATTTCTTTGTTTTTCTTTCTAGAAATCATAATACTAAGTACCAACACATTGGACATAGGTGTTTGAGACCTTGCATTATATAATTATAATCAATGGGAAGACTTGAACGTTTGTGACATTCAGAGATCCTGTGCTGCTAATTGTTAGCATAGTATAATCTGACTGGCTGCCACTATTCACTGTATTCAGCCATTTGCAACCATAGAACATTTTCTCCTTTATGCTGCAAAGATGCATTGAATTTCATAAATTACTTTGAGGCCAGAATTTTCAAATTAATACGAGCGTATGGCATTTCAGATGTTGTGGAATCCCAGGCGGGAGGATTTCTGAGAAATTAAGTTGGATCATCTAGAAGGACTTAGATGAATTTTTGTGGCTGTGCTTAGAAAATGATTTAAAAGGCTTTTGGTAATGTGTGTGAGAGAGTGCTCTAAAAAGGCAGCTCCTCTGATTAGACTGATACCATGTCATAATTACCTAATGCTGGTTGAGTCTTCATTGCCTATGGTATTAAATTAATATTTAATGACATCAAGAGTGATTTAAACAGCATTTGGAAGCCAATTTTTAACAATGACGTAAATATTACTTTCAGGAAAAATGGCAGATTAAGCCTCTATAAGGAGTTCTCCTGGTGTAGTGCCTTACATGTTTGACTGACACCCGAGAGGTCAGCGGTTCAGATCCACTAACCACTCTTCAGCAGAAATATAGGCAGTTTCCTCTTGTAAATATTTACCACCTCCGAATTCTGATGGGGGATCTCCATGGGTCAGAATCAGATTGACTGGACAGTGGTAAATGTGTGCTGTCTTTCTAAATCTCTAGAACTGAGAGAGAACTTCACTTGCACCTGGACTTGCAATAATGTTTGTGCTTTTTGCGACAATGAAAACGTGGAGTTGACTCTAACCCATGGCAGAGTCCCCTGTGTGCGAGCACAGATGTGTGATCCATGCGGTTTTCAGTGGCTGGGATTTTGAAAAGAGACCACCATGCCTTTCTTTCAAGACTCCTGCTACTTTTATCAAAGTAGAATATGGTTTAATGTCTTCATTAATCATCCCTAGGATTGCCTGGAGACTAGGTATTTCAGATAAAACAATTTTCCTTTTTTCTTCCCTCAAATATGCTTACCCAGCATGCTGTACAAATCTGATGATTTGCCCATTGTCTATTGAGTGTTGACTCTTAACATGAATCAACAAGAACACTGATTCTGCTGAGAGGCTAATGTGGAATTCATCTGTTCATTCAAAATAACAAAGTCCAATCAAACGGAACAGACAAAACATAACAGCGTAACACAATACTGCCGTCCCTAAGCAGGAAGAGACAAGTGGTGGGGCCTCAGGACTAGGAGAAAGAGCCAAAGGATCAAAGGGAACTTGAGCCTAGTCATTTGGTGGGTTTCAACACCACCGTTCCTGGGCCGTGACCTTATTCATTCCTCAGTATGCTTCGCTTAAAAGGAATGTGGTAGAGAGGGGCCTCTTTGTCTTTTTGGGTCTGACAGGTAGTACTTACAGTGGTTGGGGGGATGAGAAGTTGTTTTAACTTTTAGGTTTTCTTGGAGAGAGGACTGGAGGGGGCCAGATGGGAGGGCAGTGTTTTCATTCATATTCAGTGACTGAAGGGGGCCCCTACCCCCTAAGACTTGGCTGGAGCAACTGTGCAACTGGGGTCATAGATATGACAAAGGTTTGCCGTTTAACTGACTTTAAGAAAACAGGGTTGGAAATGTACCATTTTTACAAAGCTCTATCTATTTCTGCTGTAATAGAAGTACCACAAGTGTGTGGCCTT